TCTGGGTCATGTTGAAGCACTAAACATTAAAAGCCATGAGCTAGATCATGGACTGATATCAGTTAGATAACCATTGAAGTCCAAGCAGCACTCAATAGCTACTTCTTATGAGTTCGGGACTCTTCGGCAGTACTCACCCACAGTCTCACCAGGGATTGGACCTAGGATTTTAAGGTTATCATACCAATCTCATTCAGCCATTGAGGAAGGAAGTCAGTGACGCGTGAATTCTCACTTCTGTAAATTAGTGATTTTAGCACGTCTACCAGCCAGTGTTATCGGCGAGTATTTCACGTTACACCCGTCTTGGTGGACCCCACTAGTCACAACTTCTCATTAGAATTCCTACCTCTTATGTTGATTGTGGCCTGCAAAACTTTTTGACATATATTAATAAAAACCATGGTCCCTTTCACTCTGCTGCCTTTTACTTAAATATGTATAATAAGTATATGTGTGGTCAGAATGTCTGAGATGTGCTGTATAAAAACACTGCAAGCCTCAGATAGATTGCGTCTCCTTAATGTTTTATCGAAATTCTATTTACCAAATGCTTTAAAATTATTAGGTTTTCTGAAATACACGGTGTGTACCCACTTCACAAATTTCAACACAATCCAGTCTCCTGTACTAATAACAACCTGGATTCCTATATGATCTGTGAAAAAGCCGGTTTTCATTGAACTCGACTTCAAATGCGATGATATAACGAGAGTCATGAGTAAAATATTAACCACGGGACATATTCTGAAGCAAAACTAGTCTCTCCGCCCCGAACATCCTTCTTGTTGGTGCAGTCAAAGGCAGACAAGTACCTCTCATATGTTACCCCCAACTGTGTTTACCAGTTTACTTGTATCTGCGTGAGCAGTTACATTGGAGAAACAGAAAGAAGCGTCTATGTCAGATTCTTCGAACATCTACCAAGGAGCAGATAGTTAAATGAGCCAAACAGTTAAGCTCTTCGGTCACCAAACACATGGTAGACAAAGGACACCAGCTAGACGCGATGGTATCATTCAAAATAATTACCAGACAAAATTGCTCAAGTCTTCCTCGGTTTGCTGAAGCTATTGCAATAAAATGGCTGAGATCTGAGTTACGTATCCAAAAGAACCTATCGCTGAACTTCATTTCCCCTCGTGACTCATCACTTGGTAACTCTTTGTTCTCCAATTTCACTGACTTATCTTCCCACCATTTCTTCTTTCGGTTTGACTTCAACAAGAGATATAAGTATATGTGTTAAACTTGGGCACTCTGGTAGTAAGTAATTCTATATTAGTTTCTTTATTAGGTATATCACACAGTGAAACAGCATTATTTACTGGATGACAAGGTTTCGAACAAAATTTATTGCGGTTCATAGTCATATCAATTGTAATCAAACGACTTTCGAACTTGAGTTTTATAGTCTTCTTTGTCTTCTCCTATTTGCCGTAGGCGTAGTAGAATTTTCCAGATATCTGGGAATGGTTTTGAATCAAGGTAGGGATAAAAGTGGCATTCAAACCCACAAACTCAATTAGAAACAAGCTTTGTCGGCTAAAGGATCCTGCCAGTGCAGCCAATTAAACAAAACAATTTAGTTCATCTAATACCCTGCCTGCGATGATTGTCAGGTCAAATACATAGGTCAAAGTAGTAGAACAGGGGCAGTCAGTCAGACTAGCCGAGAATAAAAACCTAACAAAATCTAGATTAGTTGTTCCGAATAAGATAAGAAATCTGGAGAATAGTTCAGTTATAGCACTCACTACATGCAATTACACACAACCATACAATAGGATGACGGGATGAGATGATATTTTTAAAATCTAATGTCACAGGGTGCAGGGAACAGGATTTATAACGGAAGCTTTGTTTATCGAATCAACTGCAAACCAACACGTGTAATAGGAATGATTCAACGGTCTGTCCACCCAGATGTCTGAAAAATTCTACTACCCCAATGGTGACAAATGGGACAGGACAAAGAAAACCATAAAGCTGCAGTTTCGAAGTCGTGTGATTATAACTGATATGATTGTGAAAACTAATAAATTTTGTTTGAAACGTCATCCAGTAAATAATACTGTTTCCTCACTATGTGGTATATCTAATAAACAAACTAATATGGAATTCAATAAGAGATCATTTTTCTTGACGTTTTGAATTCTACTCAGCCTATTACACTTGTATCTTTCTCTTATCTAACTACACAACTGTTACTAATTTGTGTTACCAGCCTAAGAACAAGTTTGTCAACTGCTTTTTCGTGAAACTTGTCTCTGACAAGATATATATATACATATATATATATACTGCATTACCTAAGATACCCTGTCCTCCTGATGTTTTATTTCACTATGACGCTGTAACAGTGTACCTACTGATAGACAGAAGCATGTTAACATTTCACACTGACTTCCTGTATTAAAGATTATAGGTTGCGCTCAGCCGATGAAAGCCAAGGAAATATAATGGATCCATTTTGTTCTGCGCCAATATTTGTTCTTTCTCTGTTCCAACTTATAAAAGGGCATTCTCGTATGAAACAACATCCTTTCATTAGACAACTGAATGCCACTGAAGCGATTGTGAACGTTCATCTATAATGGCTATGTGCTGAGGGTGTTCTGTTTGTATTCCAGTTTTCCTTTAATGTTTTTTCTAATAAAACACTGTTAGAAGACTAAGATTAGGTAGGTTAACCGTAGGTAATCCACTGGCGAGTATAACTGCCATATATAAGTCAATCAAAGTGACTTGTCAGCGGCATTCCCAGATAATTATGATGTTCCCACTGAGACTCCAACCCAGAAGTCATCATTTCCAGCAACCAGAGCGTTATCCACTAGGCAACCAACCTATTCATGTACGCAGGTACATGCAGTTGGCGAGTCTCAGTTGGGATGAAACACACCTCTTGGTTCCATCTTCTGGTTGCCAGCGACGAAGTTGCACAATATTTTAAATGTCCCACAAAACATCTTTATGTTGACACTATTCATTACTAGCCTAAACAAAATATCAGCCAGTAATTAACAGTAATAGTTCACAAATTATTCGCTTATAATCTTCGCTTATAGTCTATCAGCCTGGGGACAAAGAACACATCGTATACTCTTCTTTGGCATTTCAAATTGTACTCATACACACACTGATGAATTCACACGTAAACTGTATCGGTCATTACACTACACTGTGAATATGGTTAATAAAACTCAGACATTTGTTAAACAAGTGCAATGTGATAAAACAGTCTGAACAGTAAAAGAAAAAATTGATTCTTCTACAGTCGCTTTAATAATCTACTTTTACTTTAATCAATAGTTGGATCAAAAATGTATCACAGCTTTTCTGCATAAAACTTAGCAGTTTTTCATCATTAACTTAGAATGAAAAATGAGGTGATAATATGAGGTGATATTCGGTCGTCTAGGTGACAGTACAGTGATGACAAGAGTAAAAGAAGCTAAGATGAAGTGAAGTGGAATGAATTCAAGTGGTAAACTAAAATAAAATAAAAAAGGACATTACTATGACCAAGATAAGCGAAGGGGTTTAACAAAACGTTTTTGAATACATAATTTAGGTTTCTGTCTGTGTATAGCTAGAGAGAGCTTCGGCTATGCATAAGGGGAAAAAACGTAAGCTTTTGGAGTGATTGGATTTGGTCCTGTAAATAACTTTAAAGGGTAAATCGCGCGGAGTTTAATATAACCTGACTCAAGAAGGTATTCACAAGTTGAAGACTTCGTTGTGCTTTGCTCGCCTTTCATTAACCAAACCGGACAGTGTTCAGCTACACGTTTACGGAGAACACGCTGACAACGTCCAATGTAATCAGCTTCACATGAGCATGTGAAAGAGTACATGAACACAGTGATTGATATAAGCATCACTTTATTCTTAATACTAAATGTAAGCCAGACGCATGAAAAGAGCGTACAATACATTGGGATATACAACCTCTAATCAATTAGGCAACAGTTGTGAACACTGCTCATTCCATCTCAACAAACGCCTTCTTCAAAGTAATCTACAGAATGAAGAACAACTTGTCAAAGGCGATTCACTTTCGTCTGCCTCTGATTGCTGAAGTCTTAGTCATTCAGTTAGAGAAACTGGAACTATTCATACAAAAAAGAAAATTATTCAACCACTTCTACTCTCATGGTAACAACCTTGTGTGATTTCTATTGACTTGATTTTAGTTTGCTTGTTTTTGTGATGCTGTATAATTCTTGTATTACTTTAGAACTCTTTCGTAATTCTATACTCTCCTTCATTTCCATGTGCATCCTGATCACAATTCGTTCATTAAGTCATCCATCTTATTACTCAACTCTAAAAGACTTACTCAGCTTCTTTTATGCATTGACTATCGTGATGAAATCCTGTAACCAATCAATCAAATACCTACAAATCAATACTTAAATATCAATGAGATGGCCCTATTGAGGTAGATAGTTACCTGGGATTTTAGTGGGAATTCGTGACCAGTAGGGTAAAGCAGGTCGGGCGTTAGGAAATTGGCTAGTGGTCATGCTATGTCGTGAATTGGCAGAAGTTGGAATTCGTTAGCTACTGGATTGGGTCCCAGTGGCTTAATAGTTTCGCCTTGTAACCATGGGAAGGTTCTGGGTTCGAACCCAGTTGGTGGGTGCGTACTGATAAATAGTGCCAAACTAGGACGAAACGGCTATCCAGTACTTCCAGGTGGGTTTTCCAATGGTTCTCTAACCAGCGTCAGCTGCTGATAAAATCCTGTAACCAATTAATCAAATCCCTATACACCAATACTTAAGTATTAATAACTAAGTTTGTGGTAACTCATCACTTTTGTTACTATCCTCTTTTATGAAGAGAATTGTACATAAATGCGATTGTGCAGCTAAGCAGGAAAATGAATTCACTGAAAAGAGCCTCTTCTCTGAACTATGTGTTTTGCTTTCATCTACCTTCTGTACGCGGTAACGATAACATTGAGGAAAAAGAACAAATGTGATAGAAATTTGCTAATGAGGAAACAAGGTTTCAGTTTCAAAAAAAAATAAGATAGAAAATAACAGCTAGGAGATTGTTTTGCAAATTATCTATATTTTTTTATAATATATACAAAATGATACTGATAGTAATGAGGGTAAGGATAAAGACATCTGGTGTATTTTTAATTCAATTTTCAAAGCGTGCTCATTCTAGTATTCCACATATGGTGTGAATTATTTATATCTGTAAATGAAAATGATAAAATACAAATAATGATTAATAACAGGCGGATTAATTACAAAAACAAAAAATTAAAAAATAGTACAGTATCATTGACTTTCATCATATTTTACTGGGCTGAAGAATCGTATACTTTCGCAAACGCCAGAGTAGATTATTTAGAAGAAAATGTTCTAGATCTTTGTGGAAAATTCCTATTGGGACATATATAAATTCAAAACAAGTAACTCAGTGAAGAGACTCCTTTCAACGAACTTATTATCATGCTGATATTAGATGGTTGGAGGCAATCGACAGAAAGCCTTTGACCTAGGTTTCGTGCTAGTTGGCACTCACCAGTCAACGAGGCATATCTACAACCTTGAAGGAACTCATGTCCCTTCTGAGATTCGAACCCGCATCATCCAGTGCTGCAGTCAGAGACGTTACCACTGAGCCATTCAGGCTCGCGATTGACCTACTGTAGGTCAGCAAAGCGTATCTGCTACCTCCCGTAAGTCAATCGCCAGCCCGAATGGCTCAGTGGTAACGTCTCTGAGTGACTGCAGTACTGGGTGACGTGGGTTCAAATCTCAGAAGGGACATGAGTTCCTTCAAGGTTTCAGATCCGCCTTTCTGACGAGTGCCAACTAACACGAAACCTAGGTCGAAGGCTTTCTGCCGATTGCCTCCAACCATCTAATATCACCAAATCAATGTGCACCGTGATTGCGAGCTACCTTTCCTGGTGGCCACATTGCAAACCTGACTGATGAAATTCGGTTTGCACCAAAGAAAGGACTAGACACGTGGCACTAGTTACTGGTGTTCAATCCAATTATTATCCAGCTATGGAATATACATACAAATTAATAAACAACATATTTGAAGACAACAAATTCACCACGAGAGAAGAAGAATTAGATAAAAAGAATCCCATTTTAGATGTCTTAATCAGGATAACTAACTCAGGAAATTTAGAGACACAAGTATATAGAAAATTACCGCACACAGACCAAATACTCAAATGCAGTAGTAATAAGCCGATTATCCACAAAAGAAACTCTGTGCAGACATTGCTTAAAAGAGTTGAAACACACTGTAGCACTCCAGCGTTGAAAGGAATGGAAGAAAAATACCCACTAAAGGTTTTCAAAAAGAATGAATACCCACACAATTTCATCAAAAAGTGTTCAAACTCAAGTAGTAATACCAAGGAAAAATCATCATCAAAGAACAGAAGAAAATATGTCCTACCATATATAAAAAATATCTCTGAATTAACAGCTAGAATACTGAAACCGTTTGAAATAGGTATAGCACACAAGGCAGTCCAGTCACTTCATTTGATATTGTGCGAACCGAAAGATCCTTCCAACAGAAAAAGAAGATAAAATTAAAACCATTCACAAAATAGATTGTTTGAACTGTAACAGACATTACATCTGTCCCCTTCGAATCAGAATCCAAGAACACATATTAGATGTGAAAAGACATGATATATATTCTTTCTTATCAATACACGTAGATAATTATGGACACCAATTTGATTGCGATAATGTGAAAATTTTAAATAGAGGAAACATTAAAAGCACCAGAGAATTCCTAGAAGGCTGGTACTCAAGCGAATCACGTGACAAGGAAGTTCGTATTTCAACTCAGTGAAAATGATCAACTGAGACGTAAATCGACAACCATTTATGACAGTATTTGCCAGGAGACACGATTCCATCATTCACGGAGAATTTAAATCAGTTCATTTTATGCTAAAACTTGAGCTGAAGATGTTGTCCAGAAGGACATCAAAAGCTTCACAATTAAACCAGGCGGCTCAGAGAACACAGCTAATTACAAATCATCCACCTGAGTTACTAATATATATATATATATATATATGGATTTTTAAGGAAATTATATCCTGTGAGGAGATTGAAACAAAGATATGAATGAATAAAATAACAATAGTGGTCCGAATAAATCTGCTGAAGAAGCTGTGGCTTACACAGCGAAACGTTCAGAAAAATCTTATTCTGATTTTCTTAACACGCTGGGATTAATTTAAATAATTTATAATGGTCCGAATACAGTTGAAATGTTTATCATTATAATACTAGTTAAATATCAAATGGCAAAATAAATGCCATATACAGAATAGGATTGATCACGAGCTTATAACGTTTGGAGAACCATTGGATAGCCAGAGAGTACTCTACAGCTGTTTCGCCTTAGTTAGGGACTTTTCGTCATTACGCACCCACCAGGGTTCGAACCCAGGACTACCAGGTTGCGAAGTGAGCTTAAAGACCATTGAGCCGCTGGGATCCGATTCAATGGTTAATGAATTCCAACTTCTGTCCATTTGTGACATATTTAGCGAAACCACCAGCAAGTGCCATGGGCGGTAAACTGTCCTCTTGCCTGACTTGCTGGCCCCCCTGTATATAGCTATATCCATGTACATGTAGAATAGTTCACAGGATATATAGATAATAGAATGGGCGTAAAATTATAGGAGTAATAGGCAAATAAAGGCGTTACATAGTATGATGTGAAATTTGATAACATAAAATTTAACAATGCGGAAAATAGAATTTTAATTTAAAATAACAAGTTGGACAATGATATAATACGGAAAACAGTTCAACGTGAGAATAATAATAGTGACAATCGATATAATAAGGGAAGGGTTCAAAAACTAAATAAACGAACGAAAAATAAGTAGAGATAAAATATGAAATGGGATTATCGTGAATGGATTAAAACCATGGTAGTTGGAGGGGTTAGGCAAACTTTTTCTGTACACGGAAGTCCGGCTTTACTATCTCCGTGGCCAAAGCCTCAGAAATACAGATGAGTCGGATATATAATGATTTGGGTAAATCAATTTTCACCTTGTAGATGATTTTAAAGGAAGAAGCTGTAGAGAGAGGGTAACCAGTACTGGCCGGATGTTCAGTGATTGCTCTCCTTATAACGCCACTTACACCTATTCGTAACCATGCAGGATAGTCCTCTTGCAGCCTCTTGAACAAAGCCCTAGTCAAACGACCGATATACCTACCTCCACAAAAGTTGGTCAGCCACAAGATCTTTAGATTACTGAATAATAATGGTCGACAAGAAGACATTATTCTTGACGATGATGCAGGGAATGTCTTTCTCACAAACTGTGAGACTCTTTTTATAAGAATATTGGCAGCTAAGTCACCTCTGAATTCCAAGTTCATATAAAGCGTTTTCTTGGTAAAGGACGTTAAGTCACATTCCATCAGTTTTGGCTGTATTTTCTTATCTATAAAACGTGGCGGAAATCCATTTTCCATCTGGATTTTTCTTAGAAGGTTTAACCCTTCTTCCACGGCATCAACGTTACATTGGCGTCGCATGACATTGGCACGAAATCGGATCAAGTTTCCTTTTCACCTATGGGCACAAAGCTGTGTATTCACACCCTTGTTTCAATCCCTTCACAGGATATAATTTCTTAAAAATATCGTATATATATACGATTGTACAGCTTGACAATAAATTCGTTGAAAAGAGCCTCTTTGATGATAAAGTCACAGAGTAATATTTTCTGATGGAGTTTTGAGCACAATTCATTACTGCTCATAGCCATATCAAGGCACACACACAACTTTCTTGATTCATTTATATACATGAGTAAAAATTGATTAGATATTTGAAAAAAGTCAACATAAGACAAAGTACATTCGGAAATAATATAAGGGTTACCAATAAAATACAATCAGATGGGAAATAAGATACTTTCACAATAAAATAAATAACGTGTTAGAATGTTATAATGTGAACTGAGTACATTTTAACATTATTTATTATAATCCTCTGATTTGACTGGTAATAATATCTTCCACATCTCTGCTGTTTGCTTTGAGTCACTTCTATTGCATGTGTTGGATGTAGACTTAATGAACCAGGATTTAGTAATCACTCTCTGCCTCTCTCCACCTACCTTTATTACTCTTTAGAATTTTTACTTTGTCCCACCCACCCTATTGTGTGGTTGTATGTTAATGCATACAGTGCGCACTGAGGATAATAAACAACGTTAAAATGTATTTCAATTCACATTATAACACTCTAACATTAATAGTATTTCCGAATGTACTTTATCTTTCATAGTAGATTGACTAACAATACTCGTATTAATTCTCATCATACTATATTTATTGATAACACCAATAGTGGTTCTAAATGTACTTTAACTTCCTTTCTGTTTCACGCATGTCTTATATTGATTTTATTCAAATTTCTAATTAACTTTTACTTGTGTATATAAACGAAGCAAGAAAGTTATATGAGTACCTTGATATGAATATGAGCAGTAATAAATTGTGCTCGAAACGTCGTCATGAGTGCATATTACTGTATTACACTGTGTGACTTTATCAAAATAAAATTTTATCCATAATGGAATTGTACTCTACCACAGTGCGCAAGTTTTATCCCTATATCAATCAAGGCTTCATGTTTTAATTTGACCACCTCACTAACACGTTTCTAGCCCAGCCTCATACCAACGAACATTTCTCATCGAGAGAGATGGTAGCTTAACATGCCTAACACATGTCACAGCTGCCTCAATCGATGTTGCTCCACAACCACACTACGGGTATGCTGAAATAATTTGTAATCTACAGGTAAATATACTCCACTGTTGTACTAGAAGGATTGTTCGCCTGATCCCTCGTCCCCCCCCCCAAACTGGTAGAGTCTTTGTATGAAATTATCTCCTCATTATGACGAGTAAATTACAATTGCTGTTCAAACAACTGAAATCTGTTAGTTGAAAGATGTCTCGATCGAGTCGATTTTCATTTCATTTGTATATCTGTCATATTCAGTGAATGCAATATCCATTGAATTGTTTTTGCGAGATTTCAGAATTTCGCAGAAGAGTAATTCTGTGGAAACTAACCGTTTTTCGATCACAATTTTAATATTAAATAGTTTAATCACAAATGTGTTTCATTAACCTGAGAGTTTAAATATTTAGCATAATGTTTAAAATGCCTGTTGCTAGAAGATATAGTAAACCTGAGTATAAAATATCAATATATTATTAGACCGATCTGTGGCTTAAATCATCTTAAAAGTAGCTGTTTATTCAGACAATAATTAATGCTACCACTGTTGCAGTCAACAAAATCTTCACAGCGTGTTGAAGAAACAAGGCATGTTTCTAAGATGATTTCAGTCGCTTTAAATCGATTAAATATCACGATTAGCTTAGAGGTGATGTACTTAAACCGATGAAACAAGGGATAATAATCTCGTCACTTCAAAGGGGCCTCAGTTCTGTTCAAGTGCCTTATCTGTTTTTTGAAAAAGTGAAGCACAACACCGTTGCTTAATGTTATTCGTTAGCGGCCCATTGATGCAATGTCTTCAGACTTATTTCTTTTGAGACAAAGGTACAGTTGCACAATTTCACCAAAGTAATAAATAGTTATCTTTGAAGAAACTGATCAACTACTCTATTCCTTGACAAGGCACCTTACAAAGATTGTCAAAACAATTAGAAGGTTGCTTTTAAACTTTTATGTTTTCTTCTAATTACACGATATCCATCCTATAGTTCACTTCACCTAATTCTTCTAGGTGGATAACAAGAAGTCTCATGAAATGTCAAGAATTCAGCTTTTCCGGAACTTGTAATGAAACTTGTAAGGCTATATTGAAATTAAAATGGTGAATATCAGAGAATCTGAAATATATATCAGGTAAAATTGCCGATGGCCTCCGAGATTTTGGTAATGCAAAAATGATGCTACTTCCTGCGCTTAAGTATTCACTTTTAGCCACGTTCTTGAGAAGATTCAAATACTGATCCATTGTATAGCAGTTAGACCAGCAATTAAAGCCACTTTTCATGTGCACACCTGGTAACTTCGAAATCCATCTCTCGATTCAAAATATCTATGTTTCTGACTATTTTTCAGCTTAACACCGCCTACCACAACTGACTTTTGTCATCCATCAGAAGCTGGAGGCGTGATTACACAGTATCAATATCTTTTTTGTATGAAGGTAAATGGAGTGTGGATACACTTAAAAGTGCTGCTTTCCAATTATACCAGTGCTTCTGGTGGATATTTCGCGCTGAAATTTTAAGATAATTCTTTACCTCTAATGTGCCACATCAGACTATGCCTCTTCAAAATATTTTCTCTTGAATGCCTTTGCCTTATATTTGGTTATCAGTTTTCGAAAACTCTTTGACTATCGTTTGCTAGGCCACATATAACTGTGTACACGAATATTAGCTCTTTCCAATTATTGGCGCTTAGTCTCGATAATCTTATTCTGTTAAATATAGCCTCTTCTTCTAGCAGTCACGCTAAACATTAGGCAATTTATTTTTGTTCATCTCACAGAAAGTCCAAAAACATTACCTTGATGACAAATAATGGAGAAGCTGTGTTTTCAAGTTGGGTCATAATTTTTTCATAATAGATACAGACAAGACAGAATGGCACTGTTAAAGATAGTGTTAAACTCTTCGAATGAGTGAATACTTCTTTAATGTACAAAGAAAACACTATCTGCACTATTGATTTGTGAACTTGTGAATCCCTACTGGCATTTTAAAGCAAAACATGACTACCAACTCTATTCTTGCAGCTGCCTAGTTCTACAGAATACTTAAACTCAAAAATACATAACCGAGAAATTAAATCCAGTAGTTGTCTTGACGACACGAGATTTTTTAGTATACTATAAATCTTTCTGCGCAAGCAGAGAGTAAACTATTTGCCTATAAACAACCTATGACTTCATTAGTAAGTAAAGTCAACACATTTACCCTTTTAGAAAATCATGTGCAACGAGTTTAATCGCTGTACACTAGTGCTCCCTAGAAATATACATTGGGAATTTCAAAAGTTTCCAAAACAATTTTGACAAAATCCTAATGCAAAAGTAATGCTTCCTCACATTGTTATTACCTTATAAAGTGTCTAGTCTCCAGTATGACTGAGATATCGATGTGACATATCAAATTCTCCAAACTATTTTCCCCAAGAAAGTTACTATTCATGGGTATTTTCTCAAAAGAATGAAGTCATAATGTAGTACACCGTGTTACTCGTAAATCTATGCATTTGCAAACCTTTCGTTTCTACCAATAGGCTTGAATTTTAAAATGCTTCATCTGACACAATGTTTTCAAGAACCATGTGCTTTGTTGGGCTTTAAGGCATGCCAAACGATATGAGATTTCAAATGTTTCTCAGCTGTCCCTTGATATCACTATAGTATACCAAAGAGTTACGTAATTCATAAAAATAAACAGTTTTATAACTATGTGATGACTTACTCGATTTAGTTAATGAAATGCCTCAATTCTTGGATTAACTTGTTGAGCCACGTATAAGTAAACAGGTCCATTAGATGTAACAGACGCCGTGCCATTTTTACTGTTGCTTATGTATGTTATATTTTCCACCCATGGATTTTCTGCTGGAGTTTTTAAATCTGCATTACTATGAAGCACATCAGACTCGTACAGTTTAGAATCATATTCGTTGTTATAATACCCAATAGAAAACTCTTCAATATTTTCATTCGGATCATAAGGGAAAGGAGTATCACAACCATCTTCGTCAAACCTGTCCGAGGATAACGTAGTAAAGGGACTACCATATGGCGAGTGGTATCTATCACCTGAAAATGCGGCAGTATTCCTCACTGGCACTTGAAAGGAAACATGATTAGGTGTTTTTGAAGGAATATCTCTATTAGATTTAGACAGCTCATGTCTGATTTGTGAATGATGATCGTAGCCAATTCTTTGTGTATTCAAACGACCATCAACTTTTGGCTGTACATTTCTATGTTTTCCAATTTTAGCGGGGTAGTTTTCATGACTTAAACGTCCATTGAGATTTATAGTTGGACTAATAGCAGAATAATGGTTTTTCTTTGGCGGTGAGCCACTTTTGTTCACTGTGTACTCTGAGCGAAATCTGTTACCTGGCGGTGGCAGGCCCTTTGGACACTCCTGGACTTCTTGTGGATCCTTCAGATCTGTCGGAGGAATCGCTAGGGAATTATGTGCTTTCGGACCTATTGTAACTGACTTCATTTTTCTATGATTTGGCTCCCTATCTCTAGCTTCTGGTGGATTTGGCTCTGAGAGTAACATTGTCAGCTTCCTAGCTTTTTCAGAAGAACTCATAACTACCCCATACATGGTGACATCATCTGATCCACTATGTTGGAATAAAATCACAAGTGACTTCGGATGCTTTTGTGAGACGTAGAACCCACGAATTTCTCGCAATAGTAGATGCCCACTCATCTTCACACCACTCTCTGAGACCTCAGGATAAAATGTCAAATATGTTCCATAGCATTTGAGGTGACTTGATGAATGTTTTTTCGAGCCGACTTTCGTCAGTATCAGAGACGCCGCATTTTCCTTTATCGTGTCCTCAGAATCCACGCAAGTTTTTGCCCCAGAAAACTTTATAAGATCCTCAAAACGTGGTTCTTCACCTGGGTGACCATTCTTATCGCCTGGCATCGTTTCAGATGTGAAATCAAAATTCCGAACGATAACAGCACAGTTTATTTGAACATCGCAGCTTTTATTGAACAATCCAATATCCAATATCCAATATCCTGATTACGAGCTAGTATAAACCAGTGATTTCTTTGAGCTCGCTTCTTGATTTTAAGGTAGAGGTTCCAGATCTTCGGTGAACTTATGCGTAGTAAATCCGGCCACTCGACTGCTTTAGCTCTGGTAGACTCCAGGAGGAGTGATGCGAGGATTGGTCAAGATTGTGGTTTGTAGTGTGCAGTATGTTAGGACTCAGCTGCTGCCGTGAATGGAGTTTGACCTAACACCCGTTGGTCATTCGGTATAGTCATAAAAGTAGAGTAATAATAATAATGATAATAATAGGTTGTAGTGTAGATAATATAGGTTGAGATAAGTGAAATAATAAAGAAAGAAAGAAAAGATAGAGTAGTCGGTACAGTGGGAGAAGACAGGACGGGTCGTGGGGATTTAGCTTGTATGCTTATCCATTGACAATGTGGTTTCAAATTTTAAGAGGGTAAGCCATTGAGACACAAACCATGCATTTCTGCATGATTGTCCAGCTTCCGCTTAAAAATCTCCACAGATGGAGCTGTAGTTACGGCCGCCGGTAAAGCGTTCCAACAATTGCCTAATACACTTACATCTGAAGTAACGATACAGTATTTTAAATATTCAGATTGCACAGATATTGCACAGTTGTAATTTTGACTTATTTTTTACCTTCCTTCAAAGTCATGTCACTTCACTGTACCCTTAAGTTAGTTGTCAATATATTGCTCCTAGGATTGAGCATCATTAAGTCCTTTCAGTGATTACAGTGCAAACTTCAGACTCATTTCTATACCTCATGTGCTAATACTTGACTTAGACGAACAGGCAATCGTATTCTTTAGAGTATAGATAGAAATGTCTACGAACTGTAGACATGTCAGTGAATAAAACAAGGTATTCTTATTCTGCTTGATGTTTTCCATAAATACATAGGCCTTGAAGTATGTCGTCTTGGTCAGTGACAGCCCAATAGCTAACGAAATTGAGTATCTGAATGCTTAGACTGTGCCTGTCTTAGATCCAATATCTAAAGTAATACTTAAAGGTCGCTGTTGACCGAATAGGTTGTAGTGCAAATTTTCATGTTGTTCTGTAAATTTCCGCCGAGTTTATAGGCCACTCGGCCTCCATGACCTCGACTGACAGTGAGGTGAGTGTTGTCAATACTGGTTATACGTAGTTTACAGCATGTGTTTTGTTCAGAACGTGCTTCTGCTGGAAATAGGGTTAGTCCTTTCACCTGGTTTTCATCCGGTTCTGTCGAAAAATGAGATAAAAACAATTTAGCTAGTGGAGATTGTGCAGACTCTCAAAAACGAACAAACAGATCTGCGATGAAATTTTACTATTGAAAGACAAGTGAATGAATAGGTAGAGCAGTCAGAAGAGTGTGACTAGAAGAATAAAAACTGGTAACAAATGAGCTTAGATGAAAACCACTAAGCGTAGGTTCGAAGAGGACAGTCATTCTGGGCATGCCCCTCGTGTTTTTTCGTGATCATCCGTCCTTCACTTGAATCCTTCCACTGAAAATTCAGTACCGATGGCTGGTGACAAAGAGTTCCTGGGGTGACAATTTCTCTCGATTTCAGTCGATCACTTTTCTTACCTGAAGGTACATAGTCTAGCTGTAAGAAAGTTATTGCCTGAGTGACACATTGTTCACATGCTGGATTCTTAGAAATTATCTGACTGGAATTAAATCACGTGCACAATGTAGTTAGATACTGTCGTAGACTGAAAATGAAATTTTGTTACTTGAAATCTGTAGACTCAAAGAACCCTGATATGTCTCGAAATTAGTTATTGTAGTCAGATTTGACTTCATAAACTTGATCAGCAGTAGGCGATGAACTAATGTTATTAGCTGCTGTGCCCTATTACTTGGAACTTGAGGCTTAAATAATGTTGTGAACTCCTGTCTTGGCACCCTAATGCTTTTCATAGTGGGACTGACTAGACGACTGTGGTTACTTGGTGTAGCAAAGACTGAGAAGTTCGCGGTACTGCAAAATACAAATTCGCAGTGAGGTAGGCCATCAAATGATGTCATAACAACACCAGTGGCCTGAGGACCAAGATAACTGAGCTCAGGTTCCTCCGCCCACACCTCGTGTCATCACTTGCAATCATGGTTCAGACATAGTTACCATCTAGCGTCAAAAGCAGTAAAACGACCATATATAAATAAATAAATAAATTTATTCTCATAGTACAGTACATGAGGGACGCCAGTTTACAGGCATCATCAAATTGTTACAGAAATAGAACCATATAATTTAATCACAATTTACAGCCAGTAGCAAGATATGCTTTACATGTTCGATAGAGATTATACATACACTTGATAAATGTTAATTCCAGTAGTATAAAACAGCCTTTTCACTTATATACAATCATTTCTGTGCAAAGTTGGAAAAATCTGCTAGATTGTCAGTGAGTGCAACACAACAGGAAATACAGGAGTATTGTCTTCGCATTAACAAAAATACCAGGTCTTTGGTGGATGAGCACTATTGAATAGAAAACACCTACAAGCAACCGATGGTAAAGACATTATTGTCGCTAGGTTGCCTTCCGTGCTCACGAAGAATTCAAAGTAAGGTCTGTTACCTGGTGGCAGCGACCACGATGATTGTATTATTTGACTTGGTTATCAGTTATTATTTTGAATACTTCCAGGACCCAAACTACATCTAACGACCTCTGTCGTCTCGTCACATGACATCTAGTGTTTGTTGCAACCGAGTGAATCAGAGGATGTCTGAATAAGATCTCTAAACCATTCCACATGTAACCTACATGCCACTATTCGTATTTTATGTTGAGTCAGTACATGCATCTCCCCCTATTTGCGACACAGTTGTACTTTTGAACGCTTGATGAAGCGAATTCTACTATTTACTCCCGTATTCGATTCTATGTATTCAACCATCTGTATTATATGCATAACACTGGTTTCAAAGGCATGGCTGTAACAGATATCTGTAAACTGTATCACTTACCCGGCCCCACATCCTTACGGAGATTATAAACATCCGTGCTCGTCAAAATCTTATTGAAATTCTCTTCAGCACACTCTAAATATCACCGATCTGATATGTAGTTTTCACAATAGGTGTAATATTTTCTTTTTCATTCACAGACAGAAGCCCAAAATAAGGACTACATATCATAAGACTGTGCTCACATCTGTGGTTTTGAACCGTTTTTGCGGCTCAAACCATAAATTCATCCCTCTTGTAGCGTATACGAAAGGCAGATAGTAAATCAGTGTATTTCACACTGCAGAAATAAGTTTTAGAAATCCTAAGGCTTGACGTGGAAACCAGGATCTCAAGGTTTTCGCTTCATTCCATAATTATAGCGAAAGACTGCAAATTTATACTGCAACTTCTGAGATTCATCGTTCTATATGCACCTGTTCATTTTATAATATGTGTGAGTTACCCAAAAATACATATAAATAACACGTACTTCTTCTAGCTAACTTATGAAACCCAACTGATATACTGGTGACTAAGGGCGTTGATAAGGCATATCCCCTGTTTGAAGTGACGCCTCCAGCTTTACCTTGAGGACATTTGCGCGGTCTAGTTGATTTCAGTTTGGCTGATTTGTTTCGTTTGATCTAGGTAGCTGCATTTGACGTGATTCTGGTTTCTGTTTGGTTTGAACTGTATTGATTTTGTTAAGAATAGTCGTCAAAAGCTGCCTCTAGGCCTGAAGGCAGTTATGGTGCAGGAGGATGCTTGAGAATGTGTTTCATGTGAAAATTATAGGGTGCACCTAAAATCCTCCTGTTTGTGGCGTCTCAATGATTTCTGTAGATCTTCGTTTCATCACTTGTGTCCATATTTGTCGTTCACGAGTGTTTCAGTAAATTTTTATGGCTATAATCAGGAACTTTCCAAAACGGTAACTGTGGTAAGGAATTTATATTTTTTTCCGCTATAGTTTCCAAGTCAATGTCTCTTTTAAGTTGCTTACTGTACTCTGTTGGCTATTCATGAATTTTTTATTGAAAAGCTTCTGTTTTCATTTACAGTGGTACCGAATGGACGCATTGGCACTTGGAGACAATGGCGACCAACCTGCCCTTCCTATCTCAGTGGATATCAAAAAACTTTTTGACGGAATTATGCTTAGTCACCGGTATACCAGTTGGGTTCAAGTAGAAGCTGCTCTAAGTCAGCTGGAATCAGTAATGTACATATATGTATGACAGAGTATTCCTAGGCAACTCATACACAATATGTAATCTAAAAGTGCATACGGGACCATGAATCTCAATATTTGAAGTACAAATTAGTAGTCTTTCGTTATACATATGGCATGAAGCGAAAAACTAGAGGTTCAGGCTTACGCGTCAAACCGTAAGAATTCTATTATTTATTTCTGCAGTGCAAAATACACCGGTTGCCAATCTGGCTTTCGTATACGCTACAAGGAGGACGAGTTTATCATTTCTTCCGCGAAAACAGTTCACAATCACAGATGTGAAAAAAGTCCTATGATAGGTGATGCATATTTTAGACACCTGTCCGGGGATGAAAAGGAGAATATTGCACCAGTTGTGAAGACTACATCTGAGGTTGCTGATTTTTTGGAATATGCTGAAGAGAATTTTGATAAAATTTTGACGAGCACAGATGTGTATAATTTACGTAAGGATGTGAGACCAGGTAAGTGATGTAGTTTAAAGTTATTTTTGAAGCCATGCCTTTGAGATCAGATGTTATACACATAGTAAGGCAAAGCAGTCAGGTGGTTGAATACGTGGATTCGAATACAGGGATAACCAGCAGAATTTGCTTCGCCCTGGAATCACAAGTGCAGTTATATCGGAAATATGGAGAGGTGGTGTGTATTGACTCAACATACAATACCAATAAGGACGGGTAGGTTATACGTGAAACGGTTGACGAATCTTAATCAGATATTCTCTGTTTCAATTGGTGGTAACAGACAATATGGGTCATAGCAGGCCTGTTTCTT